GGATGCACTATGGGAAGAAGGCAAACCAGTGTTATGCTTTGTGAAATGTTTTGCTGGGAAACGTTGGGTCCTGTCATCCATGTTGATGTTACTTTGATATGAGATACCTACCAACGCATTATTGCAGACCAACCACACCATTGAAACAGTACTCCCTGATGGCCTTTTCAGCAGGATAATGTGCACTGCTACAAAACAAAAATGGTTACAGAAATGGTTTGAGGAGCACAACAAAGAGTTTTAACATGTTAACTCGGCCTCGGAATTCCCCAGATCTCAAACCAATTGGACATTGATGCCTGACAGAGACATCAAAGTTTGTTCAGCACATCCAAATGTGCTGGACAAACAAGTCCAATCCAAGGAGCCCTCACCTCGCAACTTAACGATTAGAAGATCTGTTGTTGGCATCTTGCTGACAGATACCACAGCACAACTTCATGCCTCGATGGGTTGTTAGGCTGAGTTGTTTTGGCAGCAAAAGGGGGACCAACACAATATTAGGCAGGTGGTCACAATGTTATGCCTAATCGGAACATTAATTGTGGAGGTTGTCATTTATATTCTTCATTAGGTGGTAATTTGCTCTCTATCCATATGAAAATGCCACAGTAATAAAACAGAGTTGCGTGTTTCTTAGATCGTCGACTGGTTTGTTCAGATCTGTCTGGGCCTCAAACACATCCATGACCGGAAGATTCTCCACAGAGACATCAAAGCTCAAGTATTTAACCTGCTTCACTACAGCCTGCAATCACATATAAGGCTAATTCATTCAAAACAAGCTGTTCTGTCTGTGTTCAGTATTTGTAAACTATTTCAAACTTTTCAACAAATTACACAAAACAGGTGGCCTTATATAGTAATGGTGTTTTTTTTTTCAAATAATAGTGATCAAACTTGCACATGCATTCACCTCCTCATGAACAGTTATGTTTTTATGAATTACATATAGATTTTGGACTAAGATGTGAAAGATATGCACGAGACCTGTTATTTATTTCTGTAGTCTGTGTCCTGACAACAACCAATGTAAGTCATTTTTAAAGACAAGGATTGTGATCACAGTCACCTTTCAGAACCGAACTGAGCAAGTACCATCACTTTACCTGAGCTTTACAATGCAGAGTTTACATCATGCATTATATTCATTATTGGACATTTACATGGTAAACATTACCCACAGAGACTGAGGTTGAGTTTTATAATTATCTAGTGTTATCATTACACAGTATTGTACAGCTGAACTGTCCTGAGATCAGCTTTGCATTGAACAAAGACCTTGCTGTATGCCAGCTCCAAGAAGATCTCAAAACAACTGACCACAGACTACTCATGGCCATCACTGTCTATCATCAGTCTTATCCGTTTACACACACACACGCAATGTTAGTGCCTTCCTTGTTGAACACAGACATCCTTTCATTCTTGCTCTCCCTCTGGTCTAGAATATCTTCCTAACCAACGGAGGGATGAAAGCGAAGCTGGGGGACTTTGGAATCGCAAGAATGTTGAATAAGTAAGTCAGTGTCATCTTCACACACACACACACACACACACACACACACACAGACAGTGCAGCTGTCTGTCGCTGAGCCCTCTGTAAAACATGGATGACTTCCAAACAACTGATTATCATTCCACAAACTGTCGTCCCGGACATGTAAACAAATGGTTGTGGAAATAATGGTCTGTCTGTAGTTTTTTTGGCTGCTTGCAGAGAATGATAAAAACACATCCATGTCCTGTAAATAACAGTCTGTGCATGCAATAATTTTTAGACATGACTGAAAATGGCAAACATGTTTAAAATGTTTCAGCAAATGGATGTTTGATGAACATTTGGACAGAAAATCATGGCTCGCAGAGAATGAGTCCTAATGCCGAAGAATATTCTTTGACTGATTTTCATGAGAGCCACCAGCAAGTTTTGATTTACGAGTTCAGCCAGCTTCTACTTGTACGACTGACATTCGTTTACCCTTTAGCTTCACTTCAAGATCACTATCTGGTGTTTTTCAAAGATTTGCAGGAGAGCTGAGAGAAAATACAGAAAAAAATAGCTACAAATTAATTTTATATTCTATAAAAATATATTTTACTGATACACAATAAAATGAAATTAGCCAGACAACTCTACATCTCCCAACTGAAAACCAGTCTAATACTGCTTTTCTATATTCATCCACTGACAAACGACTTAATCTCTCCAAAACCATACCAACTGAATTTCTTTCAATAAATAAATGTGACACATTTCTTTCTTTCTACAAGAGCAAAGTTCATGATATCAGAGGTAATATCTTAGTCTGTTACAGTAATTTACCTAGCAATGCCTCATATTCTCAGCTTTAATTTTTAAAGATGAGGAAGGAATTATTCATCAAGTCCTACACCTTGTTCCTTGACTCCATTCCCACCAAACTATTCAAATTTGCAGCTCATGTTTTACAAATCATTTAGTCAGTATCAATAGTTCTCCACATACTGGCATCTTCCCTGTTTCTCTAAAATATGTAATAATCACACCACTATTTGAGAAAAATAATATTGACTTAATTTCCTTTTTCTAATATTTTATTCTTCCCTTTCACAAAATTTGGAAAATTTGTTTACAAACAACTGAGTAAATATATATTTAACAGTACCAATCAGGGTTCAAATCCACTCAGAGCACAGAGACAGCTCTTGCTAAACATCAATAGTGGCTCACAAAGAGTCTGAGTTTTAGTTCTATCTGACCTCACTCCTGCTTTCAGCACCACGACATTCTAATTCAAAGGCTTCATGACACAGTGGGTTTACCAGGTCAGGTTCCTGATTGGATGGATGGATGGATGGATCCTCAAGGCTCAGTCCTTGGTCCACCTTTACATACTCCTACTTGACACTATCACGAAGAATCATAAGATATCCTCCCATTCTTATGCAGATGACACATAGTTGTGCTTATCCTTTTTCCTCTGATGAACTAACCTCCATTCACAAACTAATGAGCTGCACTGATGACATTAACTGCTTGATGTCTGGAAAGTTTTCTAGAGCTGGATAGAAACAAAACAGAAATATTTGTTGTTTTTCCAAAAAGTCAGAGACAGAAAATGCATTCGTATTTATCCACTCTGTCTCTCAAAGTGAGCAAGTCTGGAGTCTTTCAGTCATTCTGGGTTTCAGTTTTGATAATCACATCAATATCATCTCAAACTGACTCTAAGAAATTGGTCCATGCATTCATATAGAGTAGGATAGATTACTGTAATGCTCTGTTTGCCAGATTATCCAAATCATCAATAGGGTGACTTCAGCTCATTCACAATGCAGCAGCCAGAATCCTAACAGGTACCAGGAAATTTCATCATATTACCCCAGGGCTGAAAGCACTCTGTTTGGCTCCCAGCACAATATAGAATAGCCTATAAAATGCTATTAATAGTGCAAACCATGCTTCTTTAATGGCAGTCCATTAAGCTTAGTTGCCAGTTACCTCGAATGTGTGTTTCTTTTTTCCCCAGTAACAAAACACAGCAGATAATTAAAGTAATGGTTCACATTAGAAGGATAGGGGAGAAGGCTAAAAGCTCTTATATTAAAGCTTTTGCAAAACTTGCATTTACATATGATTTATTTTCTAACAGCAGAGTTTGCTCTGATAATCCAGTTCTTCAATCTCAGTGCAGGCAATGTACGGTAAATGGACTTATTCTTATATGGCCTTTTTATACTCTCCTGGAGTACTCAAAACAGTGTCCCAATTACTGGTGACTCTGATGATCTACTGAGATTTTCCCATAAAAACAATTAGTAAAAGAGAAAATAACCAGTTAGCAGGTGAAAATGCCTAAAAAATAAACGCCAGACTTACGTGTTAGTCTTTGTAAAGAAGAGAAACAAACTTTCTACATGCTCTTACATTGCTAGGCTAATTAGCCAGTTAGTTAACGTATGATACATATTTTCCTGATCACTTAAGTTCATAGCTTCATGTTCTTACATTTTGACTCACTGACAAAAGGAGCTTCAGTTTAAAGTTATGTTTGGTCTTGTTTGCGTTTACATTTTTCCAGAAAGTCATTTCATTTGCTTTTCTCAGAACATATATTTAATGTTTCTCATCACCACTAATAATGACTTCCATCTTACATGGCTGACCAAAAAAACAAAAACAAATCCTTCCTTCAAGACTTTGCCTCAACCAACTGTTTACACTGAGTGCCCTTACTAAAAAAACATTTGTATGAAAAACACCCATATTGCTTTATGAGACCACTAGTAATTTAGTGTATGTTCTTTGATAGCATACATATAAACTTGTATTTACAGTTAATTTATTTATCCTAATAGTGTTGTTTCTGTGCATCGTGTAGTACCATGGAGCTGGCCAGGACTTGTGTTGGGACACCGTACTACCTCTCCCCAGAGATCTGTGAGAATCGGCCCTATAACAACAAGACGTATGTATGTGTGGTTGCCAGTATGATATATATATCATACTGTTCAGATTGTTCTGTTATACCTGTGCAACCAGTAAGCTCCATAATATAACCTCTTTTTGGATATTTATTTTATTCCATGATCAGCTACAGAGGCTTGTTGTGCCCACAATTTAATGTTTAAAAAAAAAAGAAAAGAAAAAGTTATAGAAACTTAATGGAGGGGCACAGAAATAAAGCAGATATGGTAAAACTGTGTTTTTGTTTTGTACCTCACATGCAAATATTCACATATAAATTATCAGAAAATTGGGGGCTAAAGATTGGGGGCTGAACAAAAAAATGGGGCTGAAGCTCCAGTTGTGTACGGTTCAGCTCTGAAACCAGACATCTAAATGTCTGGACAAATAAATCGATCTGTCATTAACTTTGATCAAGATCTTTTTTTAGCAGTGGAGCCAGAGTGTAAAGTCTGTTTATTAGGAGCAGCTTATGTAGGAAACTACATAAAAAGAATTTTCTGATAATTTATATGTGAATATTTGCTTTTTTAAATGTTCCTACGGGACAGCAGTATGAAACAGTATGTCACAATGTAGTTTTTATCATCTTTCTTAGTTTTGGTCCCAAGTTTTTGAGTTGTTTTGGAGTACAGGAAAACCTCATAGTACAAACTTCCTTCTTCATAGTACAGTCCCCTGCAGTCCTCTGCTATGTTTTCCAGTCTCTTGAAAGTAAAAAAATCCTTCTAACCCTTAAAATTATTATCCTTAAAGGCCCACAGTTTTCGAAGAACACAGTTTTTAAATTGCTCTGTTTTCAAATTTACTGTCTCAAAAATTGACTTTTATTTTTAAGACATCTTTATCTTGAGGAAACCATAACACACAAGTATGCAGCGTGCATCACATGGAATCAGCCACTGAAGCCTAAAACCTTTTTTTGTTCCAGGAAATCATTGGTGAAATCATTGTGATCTTGAAATCCCTGCTACACCTTGTTTTTGGGGACTAAGCTGTGATTGGATGGGGGAGGGTTTGAACAAATAGCTGAGGCCAGAATGAGGAGGTTCCCTGCTAGAACCTGTGACTGTGGATTAGCTTTGTGGGTGTAATAATAGAGCACGGTGCTGTAATCTTCCAGTCATGATCTGCTCAGGCTGCAGCACCTTCACTCGTGTCAATGTGTTGAAACACATACACAGAGAGACACATACAGGCCTGCCAAAAGCAAACTCACACATGCAACATCTCAAGCTGATTATTCGTCCTTCCTCCATTCTTTTTTGTGTTTTTGCTGCTCTCTTCTGCAGTCTTATTTTGATACAACTGAGGTCAAAGTTCCCTCCTCTTTCCCACACTCACACACACACACACACACACACACACACACACACACACACACACACACACACAGTTTTCATGGCTGACACCCCTACTGACATGAACTAATTCCAAACTCCTAAGCTGTCCTTTCAAAAGAAGACAGAAATGCCTTTAACTTCCCAACACTTAAAAGGTCCCACCAAACTGCGAGAGGACAAACATCCCACACCCACGCTTGGCTCTGAGCCAAGAAAGCAAATGCCTGAAAAGAATTTTTACTATTGGCAGCTATGCTCTGATTAGCTGCTTCAGTGCTCTTAAGATTGTGGTGTTGTTCATCTCAAGCGGACTGGAAACTTAAGTTTCACAAGGAAATATTGAGTTATACAAGGTGAGGTGTATCAGAAATAATAATTTAACATGCTTTGCAAACACACTTTAGTAAATAAAACCCCCAAAAATCAACACTGAGGTGAGAGTGGTTTGTAATAAAGTCTGTGTCTCACTAGAAAGTTGATGTGGTTAAGATGATGTCAGATTGTTTTTGAAATCTTTCCTTCTAACCTTGGTCCTTCTGTGTGTGTGTGTGTGTGTGTGTGTGTGTGTGTTTTCTTCCTGCAGGGATATCTGGTCTCTGGGGTGTGTCCTGTATGAACTCTGTACCCTAAAACATCCAGTAAGCTGCCCAACGCCCTGCACACCAAAGCTGCTTCACACACTCAGCTTCACTAATGCTGTCTTAATGCTAACACTTGCGCTAATGCTGGCCTCTGTGTAGGAGTGCAGTAAGAGAATCAGAATTAGACCGAATAGGAAACTGACACAGAATCTGTTTTGGTCGTCCAAAGTAGAGACATTTGAGACATTTACATGAGCTCTCTGTGTGCTGCATATATATATCCCATGGGGTATTTGTGTGTGCCTGTGTCGACTTGTCTCCTGCAGTTTGAGGCCAGCAGCTTGCGACAGCTTGTCAGTAAAATCTGCAGGGGGCGCTACAGCCCAGTACCCAGCCGCTACTCCTACGACCTACGCCTGCTGGTCACCCAGCTCTTTAAGGTCAGACACTCTCATGTCAGTTCCAGGTTTTTCATTTGGCCTGTGGATATGAGTTAGATAAACAAGTGTGCAAAACCAACAAGTATGAACATGAAGCTGGACATTTGACTCAGACTTAATTAGTAATGAGTCAGACTGTAATTAGCAGGGAGTAGAACAACTGCTCCTTTTGGCTAATATCTGAAGTGGTTTGGTCATGCGACCAGGATGTCACTTTGGAGAAAAAGCAGGTAGTCCGGATGCTTCCTACAGGAAAGAGACTGCTTTGGTAGACCGAGATGGTGCATCTTTGCTAAAAATACCTTTGGATCTCCCAGGAAGCGCTAAGTTTTTACTTTAATTGTGCATACACATGAAAGCAAACATTTTTTTCTTTCTTTTTCAGGTCAACCCACGAGACCGTCCCTCAGTCACCTCTGTCCTCAAACGTCCTATTTTGGAGAAACATATCAGCAAACACCTGGATACTCAGGTTTGCAATCGGATTGGTTCACAGATTATTGATGTCATCAAATCGTCTCAGTAAAAGGAAATTGTTTGCAACATAAAACAGATAGTTAAGGAATAAGATAATATTAGCACTGTCACTAATTTATGAAACAAAATCAAACACATAAACCAATCAATCAATCAAGATCATACAAACACAGCAAACAAATTTCTTAAGAAATAGTACTATATGGGCATAATACTAAACAACTACTTAGTTATAAATATTTAAAAATATTTTTTCAGTGCCTAATATATTTGTCAAACAGATTGAAACATTACTAAATATTAATTGAGATTAATTCAGATTTCAGGAATTTTTTTGTTTTTTAGACAGGACTTCACGGGGCATGAATTCAAACAGATCTCACATTACATGAAATGATATAGTGTGTTAGTTCAAATGTTTGTAAATTCCAGTTATTGACTTGGTCATAAAAATCTCTGACAGATAAATACATATATGAATGTGCAGGTTTGCTTCTGTTTTTGTGATTTCTTGTGTGTGAGCAGGTCATGCAAGAGGAGTTTAGCCACACCGTGTTGCATAGAAACAAAGCTGTGGGGTTTCAACCAGTTAAAACAAGAGCAGGAGCAGCAAACACACAAGGTGCAGCTGGACTTACAATACAAAATTTTAAACTACTTGGAAGGCAGCTTTTTTCCCTCACACATCTTCTGGAAAACATGCCTCAATTTTTTTTCCCTTCTGATTTAGGTTCTGTCAGTATCTTCTGCCTATTCTATTCCTAGACTGTGTCCATGATGTTGAGGTCAAGACGCCTTACGGCCAAGACCATCTGCTGCAATACTTCTGCTTGTACTTCTTTTTCTGTTGTGCTGCTCAAGATAGTTCATTATGACTTGGACCATGTTGTTATGGTGCAGAGCGAATTCAGGGGCTTCAGATGTCTGTCTGATGTGTTTATTGATGGTTATATGTTTTAATTTACTTTCAAAATAATTTAAAGTACATAAAGCATACCTGTAGGGATGCCTCTGTATGCTGTGTGCACATATCAAACATAATTCCCTGTGGTGTCTTTCCAGTCACTATCTATGATGCAGGAGTGTTTTTTTCCAAAACTTTTTGCATTACTTTTTATAGTACAAGCACTAAGAGTTGTATTAGATAAACATCAGCAGAGCCTTCAGGTATAAGAGCAGTAAGAGAATCTCTTAATAATTTCAGTTCTGTTCTGAGTCTTCAATTGTGTATACTGTAGTGACACCTAGTGGTAGCTTACCCACACCACGACTGTCCTACAGCACATCTGATAAGCTGCAGGGAAACTCCTGTCCGCTCGTATCACTCAGTAACCGTTGGGGAAGAGCTGGAACCTTCACATCCTGGCTCACATTGTGTTTTGATAACATCAGCGCACAGCCCAAGGACAAATCACTGAGGGGGTGTTTATTTTCACTTTCTCCTTCACAATGGTTACCTAACTTATTTGTCTTAACACTTGCACATTATTTTTACTTGTTGTGTGAGTGGTTTATTCTTTTTCTTTTAATCAAAAAAACAGTGCATGAAACACTGCATGCACTGTCAAAGCAGTAACCCCCCCCCCACTGTATACACGTATAAACCTACATTTGTCATGTGTGAAAGTGACACATTAAAAACACAGAAACCAAGAAAAGTGAACTTTATCTGTGAAGCAGCGACCATCAACAACAATCACAGCGTGTGACTCTGTGCTCACAGACAGCAAAAAACAGCCCACTCCTTGTTATTCTAACTCAAGATTCTCATGTTTTCCAGGTAAGATTCAGAAGGCTAGAGTAGCCGAGAGGCCGGGGAATGCCAACAAGCAAGTGCCTGCTAGACCAGATTGGAAAGTCCCTCTCAAAGCCTACACACCCATCCACCATAAAGTAATAACATGGAAACAATATCCACAGTTTCACTGATTACCACCATAAAAAAGTAATTTTGTAAGTTTCAGCGGTTAATGACTTGCTCGACTTGCTAGCTTATTTTTAACTACTGTACCTCCAGTGGTGTGGAACTGCTGTACTTAGCTAGTAGGTGCTTTTTCAGATTTGGAGTATCACCCAAGCATGATTTTTGCTTTACTGGAATTCTTTGTTCTTTTAACAAAGCTGCAGTAAAGCAATGGAAGCACAGCTCAGTCGGCATAATACAGTTCTTTAGTTTTTCTTGTATTTCTGTTGTATTAATACTGCATTTGTTTGTAATTGCAGCCTCCTCAACGTAGAGAAGCACAACTAGCAGCCAATAGAGAGTTTCCAGGGATCCAAAGGTTTGCTCAGAATGATGTGAACTTTGGTCCTATTCCCGCCTGATATTGACACTTCTGTTTACAGCTGTGTAACCTGACCAGCTTTAAGTGCATCTTATTTCAAGATGATCTGTAAAAAAAATTAGAGCTTATAATAGCTAGCCGCAGCCTCATATGAACATGACATATTACATCCATCTATCCTTTTTCTGCTTATCCAATTCAAGTTTGGGTTGGGGTACTGGGGAGCGCATCCCAGCTTCATACAGTGAGAGCTGGGGTACACCCTGGACAGGTCACCAGTCTGTCACAGGGCTAATACAGAGAGACAAACAACCATTCACTTTCACATTCACATGTATGGCCAGTTTAGCATCACTAATTAGCCTAACCCCGAGAATGTTTTTAGACTGTGGGAAGAAGCCGGAATTCCCAGGGAAATCCCACACAGACACGGGAAAGCATGCAACCTCAGCACAGAAAGTCCCCAGACTGGATTTGAACATAGACAAATTACACCATGTCATTACGTATTTAATGAAAATTAAGCCAAAATGCAGAAGCAGTGTATGACAAAGTAGACCCTTAGCTGATGCAGAGGGAATTACGTGGGTAAGTAGCAGCCATGTGCTGCTAATCAAATGTGCTTGATTTAAATGATCATCATCAAGTCTCCAGAGCTCATCAAGTTATGTCCTGATATGTAAAACCTTAGAATTGAAAGGATGTACTTTCTTATACCTCAATTGTATGTTTCTTATCATTCATACAGATACAGATCTCAGATTTGGTTAATCAACCATTAGCTTCACTTAATGATGATGGTTTATCATGCATGTATAATATGTAATATTAATTACAGGTTTAATGGTCAGCAGCCTGTCAGCCATTACCAGCACTACCACGCCCAGTTGGATGCCTTTCAGAGGAGGAACAAAGAGGATGTTCTTCCTCTTCCTCCTGTGGAAAGACCAAAGGAGCAATGTGAAGACCAAGCTGCTCCTTGTTCTGTGGAACCATATCAGCTGTGAGTGACCAAAGACCAGTACACCTGTAACTAACAATTATTCAGGAAACAGTTTCTGTAAAAACTTTAAATTAAACCAACCAATAAAACAATTCTGGATGTACTTTCCATGCAGAAAGTACATCCAGCTATCATTACAGTAGCATAGCTGTCAATTGAGTTCCTCTTTATTAATGGATGATTTGTTTCAGCTGTACATACAGCCATTAAAGGTTCTTTTTAAGTAGTTAAATGGGATAAAACGGTAATATACCATAAACATATCTTTACATTAAACATACTTTGTGTGTTCACACCTCACACATTCAGTTATTGGGCAAAATGTTTAGCATTTCTACACTTTGATCTGAAAACACTCGTGTGTTGTGGCCATTGATGGAGGTTTTTTGCAAACAGTTTTTCTGTCAGGTGGGTTGAGCTTTGCTTTGCTCACTGTTGCACATGCACACTAGTCTTTGTCACCGTCCTAATTCTAAAAATCTTTTATTACAGAAATAAAAAGATACATTTTTTTTTATGTCTTCTTGGTTAGCTCTGATTCCCGAGCATCAGAGAAAAGTCTCCAAAACTATACCAGCCTTCATCCAGACGACCATAAATTTGGAACTGCACTCATACGAGGACCTAGCAGCACACTTTATTTAAATAGCAGCGACTCATGAAAACAGTCAGCAGCTGTTCAGCTTCCAAGTAGATCAGAGTTTTTTGCAAGGGAGAAGAACGGTCCTGCCCTGTCTTCCTGTTCTCACCCCAACAGGTCATGATAGATGCCCTGAGCCTAGTTCCACCAGAGGTTCTTCCTGTTAAAAGGGAGTTTTCATTCCCACTGTCGGCAAGGGCTTACTCAAAGACAGTGATCTAATTGTTGGTGTTTTCTCTGTATCACTGTAGGGTCTTTACCTTGAAGCACCTGTTCAGTGATTTTGCGCTATATAAATACAATTGAATTGAACTAAAGTGAGCAGTTCTTTTCTTGAGTAACAGTTAATCTTCTTGTGTCTGTCAGTGTGGCTGCCGCTCGAAATGAATACCTGCAGAGAAGACAGGAGGCCAACGACTACAAGCTGAGAGCAGAGAAACAGCTGGTAGGACCAAGCTCTGTGCCTCCACACACTGTTACTGGAATATCTACTCTTCTATTAGTGTGTTAACTATAAGCGGAGCTGTAGTGTTGTGGTTAGTGTAGTGGAACACAAGTACATCAAAACTGTTCACTATTAAACTGTACTAATGCACAGTAGAGTTTATTACCTGTAAGACTATACTGTAAGAAATGAAAGTGGCACAGTTTTCACAACGATTAGCCACTTTTACCATTAGCCTTTGCTTTTCTGTTGTTCAGGGTCTGCGTCCATGTACAGCTGAGCGCAACAGCAAGCCTGGTGGTCAAGAGCAGGAGGTGGGCAAACCTGAACACCAACATATGCCTTTGGACAAGAGACAAGGGGGTCAGCAGGTGGGACACACTCACAAGACACAGCAGCCATTAAAGTGAGCAGTTATGTTTAGTATCTAAATGAAGGAAAAAAAAATGTGTTTACAGAAATAAAGAAATGCAGAAAAACTCTCCTAGGAATGTTTTCTAGTAGCTTTTAGAGTGTGTGTGGTTGCAGGAGTACCTGCGTCAGCTCGATCTCATTAGACAGCAATATCACCTGGAGATGAAACAGATGAGGATGAGAGCTGAAGCAGAGGTACGTACAAACTCCTGAACTCTTGAACTTACCCTTTTACACTTTGGGTCACTTCAAAGGTTGAATCAACCTTCTGCAGTAAATACACATAATAGCAACTCTCAGTCAATAATGAAGAGCATTAACATATTTTCATCCTGTCATGTTTCAGGCCAAGCCACAACACAAACTTGAGACCTTTGTGTTGGAGCAATCCAAGGACATAGAACCATCTGTCGACAACAAAGAGCCCCAGGAAGCAGCACCAGCACTGGTGAAATAGATCACTGGATAGGAATCACAAATACTTTCTTCATATTGATGATATTTTAGTAATATAGAGCAATTTTCTAAAGCTAATTTAATTTCTTTCAGAGGCCAGTTACGAATTTTCTGCTTTCCTGTAGCGCGATATTTGCAGTGCAGAGCCCCTCTTTTTCTCATATATGCAAACCTCCAGAGAGGAAAAGGGGCAAGGCTTTATATTTATTCAGACCAGCAACAAACACTTCATATGTGAAAATATCTCTGTAACATGTTCTGCACCATCATGGACTGCAGGCTCTAACTTGTGAATGCAGTATATGATGGTCGGGTTGGTCTTTCCACTGACCGTTCCTCTCTAACAGCCCATCACAGCAGCATCACCATCAGCTGCCAAACTAACAAACTGTAGCCTTTCTTCACATCAAGGCTTTGTAACTGCAGGATGTGAGACAACAGACACCGTGCATAACTGAATGAATACAATGGAATGAAATACGAGACTATAGATCTCACCTTTTTAGGGAATGCTGATGTAGATGACCAGGCATGCGTTGGACACCCACAGGAAATATTTGTATGGAATGTCCTGTAAAATGTGACACTCTAAATCTTTTTATTTTATTTTTTATATTAATAATGTAATAGTTTTGACTCTGAAACAACAAGTTGGAACAGAACAGAATCCAGATTGTTCACGTCTATGCAATATCATTTTAACTATCAAAGCATTGCCAGTGCAAGTGTTGTTTATACTGTACATCGATTAAAGGTCCATTCTCCTTGCAAATCACACCCTGTGTCTGCATGGCATATACCTGTATTATCTTCATGAACTATTACAACCCTATAACCATACTTTGACAGTATATTCTGCTTTATTTTTAAAGCAATCACTGTAGGGTTTGCACACATATTTAGGGATACAATATTCATTCTACAGAAGAATTCATGATAACTGTAGTTTTCTCTGTATCTGGTTTCTGCAGGATGTTGAAGCAGCTCTGAGGCAGATCAGAGAGGAGAACAGAGACCAGATGAGAGCTTTGGAGAGAAAACATAAAGACAAAGTGAGTTTATGCCAACAAAAACAATTCTGCAGAGGTTACGTCCAGTAATTCTACTTGTATACCTGCATTCAAACTATTTGAATATTGAAGACCTTTCCAGATTCAACAGTGGCATTTAAGTTGTTGACACATCTGAAGCACTGAAGACTACTGTATCTTTTGCTCTTTTTGGGGGTTTGTGACGTCTACAGAGGGGAATCATGTTTGAGATCCGATTAGATAATGAAAAGCTAAGGGAAGATGACGAGGAGGAGAAAGAAGGAAGAAAACAGGATGACCAGGTGAGAGACAGAAGATATCATCATCATCATCATCACATTTATTTATAAAGCACTTTAAAACAACCACAGCTGACACAAAGATCTGTACATAGGAACTATATAATAAAATTACACAAGATATCAATCAAAGCCAAATAAAAGAAAAGGTAAAACAATTAATTAAATAAATATAAATATAATAAATATAGTCTTTAGTATCTTTCTAACTGCCAATCTTCTTCTCACTCTTACGTTCCTTTTCCATGCAGGAAGTGGATCCACTGAATCGAACTCTGTCCTTCCAGGAAGGAGCACAGCTGAAGCTCAAGGATTGGCTACAGGGGAGGAGGGGGTGGAGCAACAGGACTCCTCAGACTTTGCTGAACGCGCTCGGCGACATGGACATCAACTCAGTCTACAACACGGTGGTCAAGGCTGGACAAGGTGCAGCATACCCACAGAACAGCTGGGTGGTGATGCTCAAAATGTTTATGAGAATTAGTCGGTTTTTGCTTCTCTGAATAATGTCGATCTATTGGACATTGTAATCAAGACACTAAAATTATGATTTTAAGGTGAGGAAGTGGCAGGTCGTAGGCAGTGGATTGACGAGCCCCCTAACACCCTGCTGAGAGCTCTGGCTCAGGCTGAGCTCACATCATCAACTCTAGATTCAGTGGCCACAGGTGAGACATCACACACTCACATCTGATGGGTGTTGAAACCAGCAGTGTAAAGGGTAAAATGTGCTGTTCTCATTGGTCCTGGAATGTCTTTAATGTGAAAAAGATTTAGAGACACAGCAGGACGGAACAGAGGAGGAGATTAACCCGGACAAAGAGGAGGAAAGGGCTGGTGAAGGAGAGGAGGAGTCTGATGTGGAGATGGATGAAGAGCGTCTGGAGCCGAGGTCAGATGATGATGACACGTAAGTCAACACTTCCTTCTGGTCACATTCTAAATATACTGCGTATTTTTACTCCATGCTGCCACAGTGAGCTGAACCAGATGGAGTTACAGTTATCAGATATCAGTTTATTACAGTATTGTACAGAAATTAGAGCAGGGGTCCCCAATCCCAGTCCACGAGGGCCGGTGTCCCTGCAGGTTTTAGATGTGTCCTTGATCCATCACAGCTGATTTAAATGGATAAATTACCTTCTCAACATGTCTTGAAGTTCTCCAGTTGCCTGGTAATGAACTAATCATGTGATTCAGGTGTGTTGACCCAGGGTGAGATCCAAAACCTGCAGGGACACCGGCCCTCGTGGACTGGGATTGGGGACCCCTGAATTAGAGGATTAAATGAAAGAGAATCAGATTGTCAACTATAATTTTGGACACGTTAGTCATAAATTCCAGAAGAATTTAGTGAAAAAATGCACCAAAAATTGCTCGTCAGTGCTACCGATTCATGTAACAGCGCAGAGCTTTACATGTCTCTGAATTTCAGAGGGGTGGGGGGGGGAATAGAACAATACCAGATATATAAGATATGAATGTATTATAGACAACAAAGTTACTTTTTACATTGAGCAATGATTTTTGCAATGCTTCATATTTTTAGTCACATTTCTACACAGAGGTTGAGCCACAATGTGCAGCGAGTCGAAAAGCCTCTACCCGTCTTTACTCTCAGTTTACACACACCCAGAATTCTGCAACATCACAAATCTTACTTAATTACATCAAACATTTTGGTCAATGTGTGTGTTTTTTTTTTTTTTTTAAACTCTTACATGTCATTAAGTGTTAATTTTTTCCACCCTTTCTCATTAGGAACTTTGAGGAGTCAGAGGATGAGCTGAGAGAAGCGGTGGCAGACTCCATGAGGAACCTGTTTGTCATGGAGGACACGAGCTCAGACGAAAAGGAGCAGGGACCAGTAGCTGATAGGATGGAGGAGGAGATGGATGAAGGTGCAGTGAGCTGTGGAGATCCTCAACAAATCCAAGCAGAGGTCCAGAATTCAAGTGAAGAAGCGGGATCGTTCAAGGTATTTCCTGCTGAGCCTGAGTCCCACAGACAACATACCACAGCTTCAAACGAGCAGCATCAGACTCCTTAACCGCCTGCAAACTTTAACATTTTGATTTTGTGAGAGTTGGGCAAAAATGTAAGAGTAACTGGAATCTGATAATAAAAAGTGATTGTTTTCATGATATGAATACATGACTCTGTAAAGGATTGTTGTTTATTTAGGTTGTTTATTTGGTGTAACCACAAGTCACACTTTCTAAGTTATCTTTAACCTATTCCAGTAAATAGCCCAGTGGAATAAGATGTTAAGCCTGAATAATGTGCAGTGACGTGAATGTGTGTGTGAGGAAACATACACTATTAAAAGCACAAGAGTTTTTGTGAAATTTAAGGCACTTTGGCTTGTAAGAGGGGAAAAGCACTACTAAATTAATACAAATGGGAATTATCGGACACTCCATGATACTATAATATGACACTATTTCACTGACATGTTATTGGTTGATGGTGATGGACCGCAGGACTCAGCTAAGCAGCTAAACTGGCTTCATAGTACAGGTCTCATATATGACATTTAACAGATAAGTTTTTAATCATGTTTGGTAATGTTTTACTTTTGCGCACGATATCTCGTCTAGTTTATTTCATGTGTGTTTTTTACAACAGGCTGGCAGCACACAACAAATCTGAAGTGTTTCATTTATTGCAGCATGATTTAATTTAATTGCAGTTTGCAACTGAAACAAACTCCAAACAGCCTTTTTACATGGACAGACTTAAATAGTTCTAATTCCTCTTTAAAAATAAAGGTTAGTCAGCCTTTTACATATAATAATATTTCCATGCCTGGACCTCATCACAAACAGGAATACAACAGCTGAAAAAACATTTAAATTAAGAGTGCTTTGGCCATCGTTTAAAACCACAAACCTGTGGGTTTAAGTGCTTCTTGTGCACACAGAAAGCGTTACAAGAAATTCTTCATCAGACAAAACATTTCCACCCTTCCCTTCACGTACATTTACAAGCATGTTGCTAACATCACGCCACTGCAAAAAATAAAATCAAACTATATCAGTATTAATCACTTCTACACGCTTAAAAGTGTTGTAGCTTGGAATGTCACTCTCCCCGCAATATTAAATTATTTAACAAAATACATTTTGAGAAACGTGAGTGTTCCTGTGGTATTTCTCACAATCAGTTTTCTCTCCAGCACAGAGATGCAGCAAGTGTGGCTTAGCTTAGCACGAACACAGAAGCCTTAGCTCCACCAACAGTGAAAGCTCTTTAGAGCTGTTGGATTTACATGTGTCTTGTGAGTTTTATCTACCAGTTTCGATCTGTATTTTTAGTTTACTAATCACAAAAGGTTGTTAGCACATATGGGGCGAAGCAGTTATGTGGATAACATCCAATCTGAAACTGTAAAGATATGAGGATGAAAATAAATCACGGGAATTAAACGTTCATCCGGGAATGTTAAAACCTCTCTCGTCTTTATGTGAGAACTCTGTTAACGTTCTTTTTCATTGTTACCTAGCTTTACCTTCCGATGACCTCACCTCATTGTTGTCTTTTTTTTTTTTTTTTTACCTTTTTTAAGTGTCCATTGTTGCACATCCTAACAAAACCCAGGTGATCTCCGGATATCCAGGGTTGCCTAAATTGCTCCTGGAGCAAATATGACAGAGAACATAAATAATAGCTATAATTATGAGATTAAAGAGGATATTTCCTGAACCTCAAGGTGTCTTGTAATTTTTTATGTAAAGTCATATCAACACATGACTCAGTTTGGAGGTGAACAGAATGTGATTTTTCACCCGATTTTTTTTTTCCCATCATCGTGCTTCCAGCTCTGCTGTCACTGAAGACTTTCACACAAGTTTGACACACGCACAGTCCTACACTCTTTGTTGGTTTTGTTTATTCATCCCAATTATTTATCTGTGTGTCCACCCCGAATGTGTCTTGATGATGTTGACTTGCTTTGTGAGATTATTATGCTGAAAATGATCCACCCCATCACACTTAAACCTTCAAGCTTAAGCCATTTTAAACATACACATGACCCTCACTGTTCAATCCCATATATGTGTGTAGCACTATTTAAAAGACCAACAACGTTCTGGTCCCTGGTGGACTCGGCACCTCATCTGTTTTAACTCATGGCTCTAGAGTACCCATCAGAGGCTCCATGGCAGCCAGGAAACAAGACTCAAACTCCTGGTCGGAAAATCGTTCCACAGAGTCCCTGGCATTTCGGCGCATTTCCAGTCGAGCGGCTGGTGACAACGACAGGATGGTTTCCATGGCAGCCGCATAGCTGTCCTCACTGTCAGCCAGGAAGCCCGTCTGCCTGCCTTCGTATGGCACCACGATGTCCAGCTTTGGACCTCCAGACTTGTGGGCAAGAATGATGGTGCCTGCGGCCATACACTCCACCACACCTGGAGACAAAGATGGAGGATTAATGTTCAGACCGGCTGATCTGATACAAAAGTCGTACTGTTAAGTTTTTCATTCGCTCATTTCTGTGGAAAACTGTGCAGTAAGTACAAAAAGAAATACTTTTTACGGTTTTAGTAACACATGCTGTCCTCACCGATGCCGAAGTGTTCATTCCACATTGTGTGCAGACCAATGGTGGCGTCCACCAGCTCTCTCTTCAGCTCCTCAAAGGGGATATTAAGTTTGAATTCGACATAGTCGGTGATGCCCAGCTCCTGACAGAGTCCCCGCAGCATCAACACCCTCTCCTCATCCTCCTGGTTCCTGCATCCGCCAATCAGCACCAGCCGTAGAGACTCTCTCCCCCCTGGGCCATCCCCTTTCCTGTCTAGCAGTTTGCGAAATGCTCTGATCTGGAGCTGGTGATCCTTCTCTGGCCTGAACTGACCCACCGACACAATGGAGTGGCGCTTCCTGTCCCCTCTGCCGCCGTCCTCTTCTTCTCTTCCAAGCTCCTCCCAGCCCTCCATCTCGTCCTCGTCCTCCAGCGGGACATCTAGGAAGGCCCTGATGTCACAGGGAGGGTAGACGATGCTGGTGCGGCTCGGAGAGCGCCACAGAGCGAGGATGTGTCCCAGCGTCCAGGTGGAGTTCACCATAATGACGTCACTGCAGGAGCCGGCCAGGCCGTACAGCAGAGCAAAGCAGCAGTAGTACACCACCTTCAATGCACTCAGGATGGGGTTTCTTGAGATGAAATCAGCATTGTTGAATCTGAAATATAAAGATGAAGATGAAAGGTAAGGTTTTTGTTTTTTTGGGCAAGAGTAATTACACAACAGAACATTTACAGGTCAGGATTGGATTAGCCTCAAATGCCTGGGACGCTTTCATACAGCACAACTGAATAGCTGAATAGCACACTCCACACTGAACACATCGTGTACATAGCAATTCTCTGTTTTCATTTTACAGAAAGGCTGGGTGATTTTTTTTCAATTACTCTTTCTGTCCATGAGTACCACTCAGAGAGTTGCAATCGCAGCACTTTAAGATGGTAAAAGATGGAGCCTAAGGTCCTCTTCTGTGAGCGTGACTGATAAAAGCACAGAGCAAGTGTTTGTTTTTTCTCAGGAGAAGCCACTGGTGGTGTCCTACCTGATGACATCAAACACAGTACCAGACAGCAAGTACGACTGACTGATGAGCAACGGATAACCAGTCATGTATTTCAGTCAATGCAAGAACTTATCACTCTGTACTTGCCTAATTTGACAGTGACCATTGTTAACCAACACAACCGTGTAGAGTAAGCCTGACATTATTTGATCTTGTTTTTTTGCCTGCTGTACATTATTTGTAAGCTGCTGTTGTTGGATTAAATCAGTGGTTCCCAAACTTTTTTTGCTAGGCCTCCCTTTGTTTTACAAGAAAATTTCATACCGCGCCCCCCCTGCAATGGCTCTGCGCCCCCCCCCCCCTAGGGGGCGGGCCCTGCACTTTGGGAAGCTCTGGATTAAATGGAGCTGTGTCTAAATGCACTTTTACCTTGGGTTCCTTTCTCTGACCACAGACAGCATGTCTGTGCTGACAGTGGGATAGTGAACGTAGCTTGCCACTTTACAGCCTCCCAGGTAGCGGAAGATCGGCAAGGTGAAGGCGTAGCCCATCGAGTCCACATACAGGTCAGGAACGAAGGCCGTCAGTGCCTCCCACCCTAAAACACACACACACTGCGTCACTTCAACTTACAAACCTGTTGATCCCACAGAAAAGAATACATTCAGTAAAATTAAAAACATATGATCCACAGCACTGGATCACATTTATATGAAGGAATCACATACACATCATGTGTTTCATGTTTGCAGAAACGTTAGCAAAATAGGGTGGAGACTACAATGAAAGCAAATGTTAGAAATATACATCATCTTGTTCCCATATATTAAATCAAAGAAAAAAATCTTATAATCGGAAGGTTGCCGGTTTGAGCCCCGGCTTGGACAGTCTCGGTCGTTGTGTCCTTGGGCAAGACACTTCACCCGTTGCCTACTGGTGGTGGTCAGAGGGCCCGGTGGCGCCAGTGTCCGGCAGCCTCGCCTCTGTCAGTGCGCCCCAGGGTGGCTGTGGCTACAATGTAGCATCCCATCACCAGTGTGTGTGAATGGGTCGATGACTGGATATGTAAAGCGCTTTGGGGTCCTTAGGGACTAGTAAAGCACTATATAAATACAGGCCATTTACCATTTACCATTTTAGCCCAGATCTTACCCAGGAACATTGAGCCTGCGCTCTGACCCAGCAGGGTGAAGTGAGGGTAAGAGCTGGCCTCCACGAGTACACGGTGACGCAGGAAGACAAAGGTGACTGATCGAGGCAGCGTGATGTTGAATCGCTGCCGGGCTCCCTCCAGAATCTGCTCACCGGTCACTCCCTGGTCACCCGTATAAACCGCAAAGGAGACGCCGGGATATCTGGTATAAAGGCAGAAACTCTACATTAGTGTTTAAACTTAGGGTTTATCTCTGTGGTCTGAGGGTCAGCTTATGTTTTTAAAAGCAGTCACTTGTACTATACTATTTGCTAGAGAGCAAAGAAGCTGATCTAAATGATCTTACTAGATGGTCTGTGGGTCTTGGAGACAATGGTAGAGGTAGTTTCAACCAAACATAGCTGTGAAATCAAGGACAGAGCTGGAAGAGAAGTGACTTCCTCTCCAACCTACAAACAGCAA